TGCATTAAAAAAAAAAAAAAAAAAAAAAAAAAACCTGTATTAATAATATTTATTTCACTTAAAAATAATATCTTGTATTTTTTTGTTTAAAAATATTACATTTCTTAAAAAAAATAATTTAAAATGATTTTATATTTTTATATGAATTTAGTTTTAATAAAAAATATTAATTTAAATTTTGTAATATAAAATAGAACTTTATTTTAAATATATTATTTATAATTTAAAAATAGGAAGAAATATCATAAAGATTATATTTATTATATTTTCTTTAAAATCTTAAATGTATTTATAATATAGTTTAAAAAAAAAGAACAGAAAAGAAAATTTTGTAACAATAAAAATTTAGAAATAACACAAAAAAAAAAAAAAAAAAAAAAAAAAATTAATCATAAATGTATTTTATGTAACGTAATTACTAAATTGAAAAAATTACTAAAAAAAACTGAAAAAAAATTTATAATTTTATATATATAAAATATAAAAAATATATTTTCAAAATAAGTTAAAAAATGTAAAAAAATAAAATGATAAATACATCATATTCCTTTCTTTTTCAATCACTTATTCAAAAAGCATTGGGATTATTTTTCATTCGGATGTATTTTAAGTTTTTATTAAGCATATTTATTTTATCATCAAGATATTTGAGTTTTGTTTCCAAAAATTCTTTTTTTTTTATTTCTTCAACTTTTCTTCCTATAAGAAAATAAATAATTATTAGAAATATTGGATATAAAATAAAAAAGAAATGTTATTCATATATTTATTTTTTTTTTTTTTTTAATAGTTAAAAACAAACCATATTTAGGACACCTTATAAGTTCTGACTCTTTATTAGTCTTTTCTAATTTCAACAACTAAGAAAAAAAAAAATAAAATTAATAAAAACATGATAATAAGTAGAAAAAGAAAAAAAAAAAAAAAAAAAAATTTAATAATTAAAGTTAAAATAATAAGATAAATTATTATTTTTATATATTTTTACAATCAATTGCTTTTCTAAGGAATTTATTTTTTGTTTAATGTCAGATGGTTTTTCACTATAAAAAAAAAAGAAAAATAAGACATATATATAATTATTATTTAATTATTATTTAATTATTATTAGAATTTCTTCATTATATTATTTGTCTTTTTTTTTATACAATGTTTCATTTTTATAAAATTCTTCATTATTTTTCTAAAAAAAAAAAAAAAAAAAAAAAATGAAATATAAAATGAGAATATTAAAGTACTATTTATAATTTTTATTTTAGTTATGAATACAATGTTTTAAATATATTACTTGTACTTCATTATTTTCATTAACTTGGTTATTTTCTGTAATTAAAATATAAATATATTAAAATAATAAAAAAAATAATATTTTTTATTTAATATATTAGTATAATTTTACCTTTTAATACTTCATCATTTATAGTAGAGTTAAATATAGGTGTTTGAAAATTATAATTATTAGATTTATTCATTATATATAATTTATTTTTGTATTCATATAATTCATTTTTTAAATTTTTTATTTCTATTTTCATATCATTTTGTATTTTTCTGATAAAAAAATAATAAAAAAAAAAATTAATTTTTCTTGTAAACATAAAAATTTCAGCTTTTATTTTTATTTTTTAATTTATACTCATTTTTTAAACATGTCCTTTCATAAATACTCTTTTCATTTTCTATATCTTTTAATCTATTTCTACAAGAACAAGAGAACAACATAAAAAAGGAAAATAAAATAATTATTAAAAACAATTATTTATTAAATATTCAATTTATTTTTCTTTTGCATTTATTATATTTTTAATTTACTCTATTTTTTTATATTTTTCTTCTAAAAGTTGTGAATCCTTTTTATTTTCTAATAAAGCACATTTCTATTAATGTATAAAATAAAAATTTATAAAAAATAGAAAAAAAAATAATAATTTAATTTTATATATTATTCTTACTGTCTTGTAATTTTCTAAATCTTCTTTCAATTTTTTTTCTTCATTTTTATAGCATGAAGTCATGTATTCCTTATTTTGAGTACTTTGAAAAAAAAAAAAAAAAATTAGGAAAATATTAAAAAAAATATTAAGAAAAACTTAAGAACATTATTTATAATTAAATTATATATATATATATATATATATTATTACATTTCTTCAATCTCTTCTTTTAATTTTATAACTTTCAATTTTGCTTTATTTAACTCATTTCTCAAATAATCATTATCTCTTTCTATCTAAATATAAGATATCATAAAAAAAAAAAAAAAAAAAATTGTAATAGTAGACATAGATTAACAATAATGCCTAAACAAATGTGTGTAAAATACTTAGATGAAAAAAAATTTTTTTTTTTTTTTTTTTTTTCTTTCTATACTTTCCCATTCTCATTTTGTAAATATTTGAATTTTTCTTCAGATTCATTCTTTTCTATTAAATATTTTTCTAATTGATTTTTTAATTTTTCCTAATAAAAAAAGATAAACATAAAAAAAAAAGGAAATTAAACTAATTATAGAATAAAATTCCCAAAATAAATTAGTAAATATATAAGTAAATAAACATAATGACTAAAAAATTAAAATAATACAATAATTTACAATTATAAATCATATAATTAAATAATTATATAAATTAAAATTTTTAATTTACTATTTCATCTTCCTTTTTCTGTAAAGATTTTTCGCAATCATCCTATTAAGGAAAAAAAAAAAAAAAAAATAGAAATTTAAGTATCTTTGTATTTTATAAAATTGATATTATTTTTCTTTTTTTTTTTTCTTTTTTATATTATTTCTAAATTTAAGTAAATAAAAATTTAAAACATACCCATTTATTTTGATAATAAAACAAATTTTCATAGCTTTTATTTAAATCTTCATTTAACATATTTATTTTTTTCTCATAATCGTCAATTTGTTTTTTTCCTAAATCTATTTTATCAGTTAATTTTTTTATTTCTAACTCATTTTTATTTTTAAATAAATCTTTTTGAAAACATTTATCATACATTAATTCATTTTTTTCCTTTAACTTTTCTATTTGATTTAATAATACATTTTTAGAATTTTCTAACTTCCTTATTAACTCTTTATTATCTTTATCCTTTTCAATCATTCTTTCGTTTTCTACAACCAAATAAGTTTTTTTTTTTATTAATTCTCTAATCTTTTGTTCATATTCATTTTTTATTTTACTTACTTTACATGTAAGTTCATTTTTGTATTTATGTTCTAATTTACAACTAATGTTTTCTATTTCATTTATAGATTTTAAAATTAAATATTGAAACAATTCCTTTTCACGATCATTTGAAAACATTAAATTTTGTTCTTTATCTTTTAAATCTTTTATTTTTAAATTTTTCAACTTTTTTATATTTGAAAACTTATAAGATTCGTTTAGTTCATCTTTTGTATTTTCCTTTTCATCTTTATTATAAAATAAGTTACTATCATCATTTTTGTTTATTTTAGAACTTTCATTAATATCAAAATTTTTAATTATTTCGTTGTCACAATGCGTGTTGTCAATTTTGTTATTATTATAATCAGATTTTTTTTTTTTTTTTTTTTTTTTATTTTCTTTTTTACATATATTTGATTCAATTTCACAAATATTTTTATTAAATAATTCTTCACTAAGAGATGATGTTCCTTTTTTTTTTTTGTTATTACCGAAAAAAGTAGAGCTATCATTTATATTACATAATGTTTTTTCTTCATTTATATTTTTGTTTTTTTTTAAACTATCTCTTAAATTGTTTAATAGTTTATTCTTATTTTCTATTTTTAAAATTCCACAGTTATTATATCTACTATCTTTTGTAATATTCTTATTACATGTTTGTTCACTAAAAGAAAAGATAATTTCTTTTTTTTCATTTTCTTTATTTAAATCTATAATTTTTTTTTTCTTTTTTTTCTCTTTCTTTTTATAATCGGTTTGTTCTTTTAAGCATTCAGATAAATTATCTTCTGAATTCAAATTTGTAGAAAATCCATTGAAATCTATACTTCTAAATTGTTCTTTGTCATCGTTTTTTGCTCTTAAGCAGTTTAAAATGGAATGTTCATTTGCATTATTTAATTTTTTAAATTTCGATAATGTGTTATAATAATTTGTATTATATAATTTTTGAGTTGAATTATTTAAATCATTTAAATAATCTTTTATTAAGCTTAATTCGTCGTCTATAGGAAAAATCAAAAAAATTTATGAAAATATATATAAGGAAGAATGAATAATTTTAATAAAAAATTTTTTTATAATCATTATTCACAGAATATTAACTTTTAATAGAAAATGAATATTTTAATTATAATATATACTCAATAAAAAAAAAAAAAAAAAGACAATAAATATATAAATATAATAGGAGTTTTTTTTTTTTTTTTTTTTTTCTTTACCTTCTTTTACAATAGATTTATTCTTGACATACAATTTATTATTCATTGATTGAACACTTTTAAAAATTAAAAATTACTTTAATGTTTTTTTTTATTATTTTAAAATTATTCTTATAATTTATCAAATATATATTTTAAATACAAATTTTTGTGCACTTTTAAAATAAATACACAGAACAAATAGTAAAATATAATTCATAAAATATAATAATTTAAATGGTATTAAAATTTTAAGTATTATATTTGGATTATCAACATAATTACATTTATTTATTTGTATTTCTCTTTTTTTTTTTTATTTATTTATTATTTTTTTATTTTAATTGTTATTTTCGTTAATGTTATAAGAATTTATTCATTAAAAAAATAAAAAAAAAATTATATGTTAAAAAGATTAACAAAATTATAAACAAATAAAATGTAATTAAAATTTTTTTATTGCTTTAAAAAAAAAAAAAAAAAAAAA